GCTATCAAATCCCCCCTCATTCTTCTCTTCTGCAGACTAAACAATCCCAGTTCCCTCAGCCTCTCCTCATAAGTCATGTGCTCCAGACCCCTAATCATTTTTGTTGCCCTCCGTTGGACTCTTTCCAATTTTTCCACATCCTTCTTGTAATGCGGGGCCCAAAACTGGACACAGGACTCCAGATGAGGCCTCACCAATGTCGAATAGAGGGGAACGATCACGTTCCTCGATCTGCTGGCAATGCCCCTACTTATACAGCCCAAAATGCCGTTAGCCTTCTTGGCAACAAGGGCACACTGTTGACTCATATCCAGCTTCTCGTCCACTGTGACCCCCAGGTCCTTTTCTGCAGGCCTGCTGCCTAGCCGCTCAGTCCCTAGTCTGTAACAGTGAATGGGATTCTTCCGTCCTAAGTGCAGGACTCTGCACTTGTCCTTTTTGAACCTCATCAGGTTTTTTTTGGCCCAATCCTCTAATTTGTCTAAATGAAATCTGTCCAGAAAAGCCTCTGCTTCCGGCAGAAAAACTGGATTTTTCCACCGCAAACCAGGAGGCCCGAAGCCCAAGAGACGTCTGTTGACAAACGCCATCGCGGTGCCTCAGGGGAGCTGTAGGGCAGATGCCTCCTGCCCCAGTTCTACCCCGGGGCCCAGGTCATCACTTGGACGACGTCCCCCATGATGCACCAGGACCGGGCACTCCCATGATGCACCACCTCTGCTTGCTAAGAGGGTTACCGGGCTGCTTCATGGGAGTTGTAATCCTCTGACGACCAGGCAATGGAGTTAAGTTCACGGCTCCCACAGCAGACGCCTGTTCAGCCCCCAGCATGTGCTGGGGGGCCCGATCCCAGCTGGGGGGCCTGATCCCAGCTGGGGGGCCGCACGGCCCCCACGCTCAGTTAGGGTCTCTCAGTGCTACCGCAATGCTTAGGATTCTCATTCGGCCGCAGCGCTCTGGCAGTGGCCTCACCCGACGCACGGAGGGAAGCGAAATGCCCCAGGCCTGCCAGAGCTTGCAGACGGGGTTAAAAGCTGCCAGGCGGGAGCCAGCAGGACTGGCTTTGTAACGGCTCTTGCCAGGGTTGAGTGAGTCACGCTTCCCGCCCCCGCCCCAGCAGGCTAGAACAGCTGCCTCTTCGCCAGGGCCTCCAACCCAACCAGCCCGACCAGTTCGGATGCCTGCCAGGCAAGCCAAGTAACCGCTCCGGTTCCCCAGATTGTGCTCACAGCCGCTGGGCTCTGCCCTCCGAGAGCTGCCGCATGGTGCCATGGAGAGGACACCAGGCTGAGGCCCAGGGCAGCTGGGCTCTATTCCCAGCTCTGCCAAGGACCTGGGGCGAGGCACGTCCCCTTTTCATGCCTCAGTTTCTCCTCTTGTCCTTTGCTTGTTTAGACAGCGAACTCTTTGGGACAAGGACTGTCTGGCTAAGTGTCTGTGCAGCGCCTGGCACCAGGGGTGCTGATTTTGCTCACGGTCTATATAGTGCCCAGGACAATAATTTGCCCTTGAAGTTGGGATCCGACTCTCTTCATATGAAAAAAATCCAGCGTATCTTCCCTAAACCAGGGCCACCCAGAGGGGGAGGCAAGTGGGGCAATTTGCCCCAGGCCCCGCAGCGGCCCCCACGAGAATATAGTATGCTATAGTACTGCAACTTTTTTTTATGGAAGGGGCCCCCGAAATTGCTTTGCCCCAGACCCCCTGAATCCTCTGGGCGGCCCTGCCCTAAACCTACAGCCCTCACTCTCCCAGGGCAGAGCGAACGGGCTGAGAATTCACAAGGAAATTGATTAACTAATTTAGGAGCTAGACTTAATCTAAAACTGGGTCCTCTGTGATCTTAACCCCTGGATAACGCAGAGCCCTCGAACTTCCCACCATCCCTGAAGCAATTAGGTTGCAATTAAGCAACGTTGTTAATCGTGGCATGTAATAACGCTCATCACAACAGGCTCAGCAGGGACGTTATGACGTCAGAGGTAGCTTAACCAATCCCCGCCCTTCTTCCCCCGCTAATTTGCATGCCACCGTGTCACGGGTTGGAGGGAGATTGGCGGCAAGAGTTCTCATTGGTAGATTGCTTGCCCAATCACTGCCGTTTAAAGACCCTGGCTGCATGCTAGTGGGGCATCATGGGACGGTTGTCTCCATCCTGCTGTGCGTGGAGGCAATGCTGCCGGGGAAACTGAGGCAGGGGGCGCCCTGAGATCATAGAGCCACCGGGACTCACCACCGAGCTCTTTCCATCTGGAGCGATGAAATATCCCACAGGAGCGCTCTCCTCGGGGTTCTGTCGGGGGTGGGATCTGGCATGGAAGGGTGGAGGGAGGAGGGATGCAGGAGGGAGTGGAGGGGTATCGGGTGGATGGGCAGGGCAGATGGGCACTGGCATGGAGCAGCCCACGGAGGGGTATGTGCTGGATGGGTGGATGGGCAGGGCAGATGGGCACTGGCATGGAGCAGCCCACGGAGGGGTATGTGCTGGATGGGTGGATGGGCAGGGCAGATGGGCACTGGCATGGAGCAGCCCACGGAGGGGTATGTGCTGGATGGGCACTGGCACGCAGCAGTGCAAGGGAGGGACGGCATTGCTTAGGGGCTGGCAGGCAGCAGTGACTGGCGGGGTGGCATTGCCGGGAGCTGGCACGCAGCCATCCAACGCCAAGGCATGGGCACGGCCAGGGCAGACGCAAGCCAGGAATCTTGTGCCGACGACCCGAGCAAACCGGCCTCGGTGCAGGGCCCTGACTCACAGCCTGGGCTCTCTGCCCTGCCGGGTGGAGATTCTGGGGCAAGAACTAACAGGGAGGGGATCGGCGGGGGGGGGCACTCAGCCCTAGGAGAGCTGCACAGTCCCTCTCTCCCCTCCCCCACCCCCCCGCCCAGTCTCACATCAGGCCATGCAGCCTCTAGGCCAGACCCCCAGCTGGTGTAGACCAGCGTTGCGCCACTGGAGTCAGCACAGCTGGGCCCGTTTACACCAGCCGGGATCTGGCCCTTTATAAATGTTGATTTTGCAAAGCGAAGGGCTTGTTTGTTTACGGCGCTAATAGGGGCCACTCCCTGCAATTTACAGCCAGAGGGAGCCCAGGCAGAGCGAAGACAGCTGCTGGGGCCAGCCGCCCCACTGGCATAACCTGGCATCAGCCGGTGACTCCAGGGGAAGGGGCCGATTCCCCTTTAAGGCCCTGCCTGGCCGATCCTTGCCTGAAGTACCACCGCTTACGCGTGATCGAGTCACCCGGTGGAGCTGGCCGGCCTCGGTCCAACGCACCGTTGTGCACGGCGCAGATTCTCTGCAGGCCGCCCCACGATCCTGCTTCCCGCTCCCCTCGCACTATTAGGTGTATTACGGTAACAGTGAGACACACCCTGCCCCCAGACAGAGATCGAGGGCCCTATCGGCGTGGACTCAGAGAAGCAGCCCCTGGGAGGGGGCAGGATCCCTGTACGAACAGCCCCAACACACCACCCCAGAGGCGGCTGCATCTCCATACCAGGTGAGGGACCCCTCTGCCACCACAGAAGGGGTGGAGGGCAATGGCAGATGTTTATACAGAGATCCTTCACCCGGCGACGAGATGCAGCCACTTCTGGGGTGAGGCACGGGGGCTGCTTCACCCAGAGTCCCTGCGCGAAGGGGTGATTCTAGCAGGGGCTTTTCCCTCCCCCTCTGCACAGCCTAGAAGAGCCAGAACATGACTGAGAATAGGAGAGAGCAGCTTGAAGGGGTTAAAGTGGCAGGGCCCGGGATGCTGGAGGCAACAGAACACGGCAGGGCAGCTCTGGGGTGGGCACAGCGGCTGGGAAATGAAGCCCAAGCCAGACAAGCTGAAAACCCAAAAACCCAACCAACCAAAACCCAGCCGCGGAGGCACAACACAGACAGGAAGGGGCTGGGGGCGATCACAGCTCGAATTAGCCACCTGCCGCCAGGGGCAGGGTTGTCATGACAGCTGGTAGTAAGAGGGTGTGACTGGAAGGTACCATGTAGGCCCAAAGACCTTAGCCATACCTTGTTGATGATAGACAAGGATCTCACCTGGTGCTGAAATGCAGCTGCCTCTGGGGTGGGGTGTGGCAGCTGTTTATATAGGTATCCCTCACCTAGAGCCACCATGCAGCCGCCTTGGGGTAGGGCACAGTGGCTGTTTATACAGGGATGCCTCACCCTGCACTGAGATGCAGCTGCCTCTGGGGTGGGGCGCGGCAGCTGTTTAGACAGGGATCCTACACCCAGGACTGAGTGACTGGGTCTGGGGCGTGGTGTGGGGCACAGCGACTGTTTATCCAGGGTTCCCACACCTGGAGCTGAGATGCAGCAGCCTCTGGGGTGGAGCACGGTGGCTGTTTCACAACGCACAGCAACACCGCACGAGAAGCGAGGATACCGTATCCAATCGAAGCGCTGTGTGCGCGGGGCGGGGGGGGGCATTTTAAAGGGGCACCAGCAGCTGGTGGGGCCCCCCCACTCTGGGAAGGAGGCACTTGCTAGGCACCAGACATTTGCGGATCAGCCCAGGCCGATACATCGACCAATGCCCGTGATTATCCCACATCAGCTCAACTCCCCTCTGTGGAGACACGCCAGAGACTAGAACTGGCCCTGGGCCACAAAACCTACAAGAGCCTCCCAGCTCGGGGGAGCCCTGGGGGGGGGTTCAGCCTCCGACACAGACCCTCTTTAGCATCCGTTCTGCTGTTGCCACCAAGGAAACACTCGGCCCGTTTCCTAGCCAGACACGCAGCACCAGCGAGAGAAGGCCTCAGACATACACTCCGTGCAGCATCTGGGTGACCAGACAGCAAGTGTGAAAAAATCGGGACAGGGGGTGGGGGGGTAATAGGAGCCTATATAAGAAAAAGACCCAAAAATCGGGGCATCTGGTCACCCTAGCTCAGGATCTCAGCTCCCTGCGTCGCTACCCACGATGCTACCCCGAGCGTAGGCAGGATTTGCACCCAGGAAGCAGCAGCCACCTGCCCCTGTGATCTCTCCGCTGCCCCAGTGCCTCTCTGGGGCTGCTGGGTCCTTCCCCGGGATCTCGGCTTTCACTGATAGGAACAAGCCCCTGGCCAGCTGCGCGGAATCCCTCGCAGGGGCGAGTCTGGCAGGAGCGTGCACGGGGTGCGAAGGGTGCCGTTGGCTCGGATGCCCCCGCGATGGCTGGCTGACGGCCGCCATCGGTAACGTCCCTCCTGTGAGGACGGGGGCTGGGAAGTGCACGGAGGCAGGACGGCTCAGTAGTTAGTGCACTAGCCTGTCTTGGGAAAGCCGAGGTCACTTCCCTGCTCTGTCACAGACGGCCAGGGTGACCTTGGGCAAGTCACCGCTCTGTGCCTCAGTTTCCCCATCTGGAACATGAGGACAGTAGCGCTGCCCTGCCTCACAGAGCGGGCTGGGAAGATACATACAGTAAAGATTGGGAGGCGCCCAGATACCGCAGTGATGGGGGCCAGGTAATCACCTTGACTAGCTAGACCTGTGCAAGCCACGGTTCACATTGATGCCACACGGGGATGGAGTTTGGGAGGGGCCACCCCTTAATTTCCCCGCCCCCAATCAAAGGACTGAGCCCATGGGCCATGCTGCTCATGCCACCCTGAACGGATCATGGCCCCAGAGACCCAGAGGGCAACGGGATCAAACCCGGAACCACAGCGCCATCCACTGTGGGTGGCCGCTCATGTGGGCGGGACTTGGTTTGTGGGCGGGGCATGGAAAGGCCCCTCCCTCCAGTCTGACACTGGTGGAAGTGGGCATCTGGCTGCAGGTGCAGATATCACCCAGCTGTGAGGGCGGCGTGATCTGTGCCCCGTCACCATGAGGGGCAGACAGCTACCCCGCCGGGAGAAATCCCCGGCAAGGGAAGGCCTCAATTCTGCGAGAGATTGGAGCCGCTCTGCCAGGCCAATGCCCTGGCCATTATCAACATCCTGTCCCCGCCCCTTTCCTTCTCCAAATGGCTCCTGTTTAGTGACCGGGAATCCTCGCCCCCGCCCCCACAAGTGAACGGTGCACGTGGACCATGCGTTCCCTGGGGCTCTACGCTCCCTTTGCCAGGATTCTGGGCCCTGCCCCTGGTGTCAGTGAACGTGCTGCTCCGCCCCTGGGAAGTGGAGAACAGCGTAGGGCATGCTGGCCATGCCCCCATCGGCCCCCTACACCAGAAGCAGGGTCGGTCCAGGGTCCTTAGGGGTCAGAGACACCCCTCCTGCAATGGGGGAGCGGAAGGGGGAAGCTTGTGGGGTCCCTTAAAGGAATCCGAGTGGAGAACCAGACCCCATCGCTTTCCACTTGCCCCAGAGGCCGTGGGTGAACGAGAACCCAGCCAGGCCCACAGATCCAGGCTGGTCACCCAGAGATCCGGAAATGCCCTGGAGACACACAGCCGCCCCTGAGGTGTACCCAGGAACTGGGGGTGCCCCTGGCTCGGGGAACCTCCTGAATCAAGTCTCAGCAGAGCAGCCATTCCCCTCTGGTTCCCCTGCTGCTGATCCCTGACTGGAAAGCGGGCGACTGCTTCCTGCCAGCCTCCGAGCTGGCACCCGGGCTGCTTTATTGCTAGCTTCCTGCAGTCTTATCAATCGAAACTGACTTGGCAAAGTCCCTGGACTCAGCCAGGCATCTTCCGAATCAGAATTCGGTTCAGTGCCCCCCCACACACACACGCCCCGCAGCACCCCCTCAGGGCCAGGAGTTTCCACAAGCGCTCAGCGGTGGGTGGAACGGCCCCAGGAACAGCTGAGTGACCCCAATTTACGCCCACGGAGGATCTAGCCCGTTATCATTTCTCTGACAGTAGCACCTGGAAGTCTCAACGGAGATCGGGGCCCTCTCATGCCAGAAGGAGAAGCTGCCCAGACCCCGACCGGGATCGGGGCCCCCGTCCTGCCGGGCGCTGCCCAGACCCCGACCGGGATCGGGGCCCCCCATCCTGCCGGGCGCTGCCCAGACCCCGACCGGGATCGGGGCCCCCCCATCCTGCCGGGCGCTGTCCAGACCTTACCCGGGGCCCCCGTGGTGCCGAGCAGGGAGTTGCTGGTCCCTGACCCCGCCCGGCTAATCACCCCCCCGCCCCCGAACACGCAGAGCCCCGGGGAATCCGCCCCCCCAACCCGGCTCCTGCCAAGTTACCTTCCAAGGTGCGCGCGGCTCCCGCACTCGCGCCGCCGGGGGCTGGTTCCCCCTGGTCCGCTGCACCCGGATCTGCGGCGCTGGGGCCGGAGGAAGGTGTGTCTCTCCCAGACCTCAGCAATCGACTTCCCGCATCCGATCGGCCGCCCTGGGCTGATGTGGCTGCACCGGGGGAAGCCTGGCGCAGGCCCCCCCCGCGATCCGGCGTGACGAGCGGGGCGGGGGCGGGTTTGCAAACAGGAGTCACCGGCCCCACCTGCGGGCGCTCGGGGCGCCGGGCCCGGCGCTGCAGGGGGCGGAGCCGGTGCACGGGGCTGGATCGCGGGGGGCCCGATCCCCCGCTGGTGTCAATCAGCATCGCTCCATTGGAGTCGATGGGGCCCGATCCCCCGCTGGTGTCAATCAGCATCGCTCCATTGGAGTCGATGGGGCCCGATCCCCCGCTGGTGTCAATCAGCGTCACTCCATTGGAGTCAATGGGGCCCGATCCCCGCTGGTGTAAATCAGCATCGCTCCATTGGAATCGATGGGGCCAGATCCCCACCGGGTGTAAATCAGCGTCACTCCATTGGAGTCGATGGGGCCAGATCCCCACCGGGTGTAAATCAGCGTCGCTCCATTGGAGTCGATGGGGCCCGATCCCCGCTGGTGTAAATCAGCGTCGCTCCATTGGAGTGAGGTCTATTTACTCCACCTGAGGATCTAGCCCATTGTCACAGGAGCCGCTCAACACCTGTCAGAGCTGGAGGCTCCCTTCGTGCCCAACCACAGTGCGGGACAGTTTTCGCTCCGTTAGGTTTGTTTGTTTTAATCTCATTCCCACTTGGGACAGCTGGAAATTTCAAAACACCTGGATTTCCAGCCGAAGATCCTGAGTTCTGATCCGCTTTGGGGGAAAAAAGTCATTTTCCCTCTAAATACATTTTTAAAAAAAGTTTTGAACCAACTTTTTTCCCACCGGCTCTGATGGTGATTGTTATGTTCCTGGCGTACAGATAGAGAAGTTAGACAAAAGCATAAAATCCTCTCGCAGGGCTGTTGCAATAGAACACGGCTTTATTTCTCAGCGTTCAGAATGACAACACACAAGAACCAAAAAAAAGAGAGAGACAAAACAGGCTGCTCCCTGCAGCCCCGCTTACCCCTTACTCTAAACCGGATCTCTGCAGACTGACAGCTACGACCAAAATTCCACGCTTCCCTACAGAGCCCCAGTCTGCCAGCAGGACCAGGAAGCCCCCCACTCCCAAATTGAAAGTGCTAGCTTACCATTTGAAACCTGTTTCAATGCACTGCAGTTATTAGCCTCAGCAAAAGGAGCTCTTGCGTCAACAACGTGCAATGAAGGGGGAAGAGAGGCTTGCTCTCGGAACAAGCAATGAGGAATTACAGACCCTTGCATCAGAACTGACCTTGCACAATGCAAAGAAGCGAGCGAGCGCAAAGCTAGAACGCAGGGGCCTTATTGGCCATGTAGTTGGCAAGCTGCCCTCTCTCCCCTGGATCTCCCCAGCTCCCAATCCCTGCAAAACCCTGCCAATGACCCACCCTACTTCTAACTTCCTTCCAGCTATTCTAAAGGGCTGGCCAGCCTCCTGCCTGTTCCTCAGTTCAACTGGATCCTGGGAGGAGAAATTCTCACCCCAGAGGCAGAACGCGCTAATGGATCCAGTCCGCGGGTCCCCAGATGCTCCATGAATTGCATGGCGTGTCTAAGTCCTGGAGGGCGGGGAACAGCTGCTCAGCGGAGGCAAGCGGGAGTTTTTCCACAAAAGTTTGTCCCCAATTCAAGTTCACCGAAACTTCTTGCAGGAAACGGATGCGTTTTGGGGATTGACAAAGTTTGGAGGAAAACAACGCTTTGAAACGGGCAAAACACCCTGTTGGGGCATTTTCCCCCCAAGAATTCTGGTTTCCTGGTTGAGAACGACGGCTGGATTTGACAGGGTACAAAGAAATGAAAACGGTCAACGTCAAAGTGCTGTGAAACGATCCGCGTGAAACTGGCGGATGGGCCCCACGCAATTTTCCTTCCCAGCTTCCGTGAAACTTTTGGAGCTTTAAGCTTTTGGTCCTGATTTGGGACGGGAAAATGATCCGCTCTCGTGAAAGTGTTTGCAAGACAGGAAATCTCTTTCCAGCCCAGCCCCTCTGCTCCGGCTGACTGGTAGGGACGTCTCCGGGACCAACACCAAATGATGGATAGGCCCCTTTCCAACGCCCCACACACTTCTGCGGCCTGTGCAGGAGCCCTCCCCAGCTGGTGTGGAACTGGCTTGTGGGGTGGCCAAAGCACACTGAGCTACAGTTGTCAGTTCCTGGGGGTTATGGGAGTGGAGAGCAGAAGTTAGAGCAGCCCCAAGGCTGCTGTTGCTGAACACGGATCAGACAGGACCCAGCACACAGATAACAGCAAGGTGGCTCAACGCTACGGCTGCCTCCAACCACTTCTGGGCATGTCCCAAACACGGGGAGCAGTTAGGGGAGAATTAGGTCTCCCAGTCCAATCCCCGCTTCTCGAGCCACTGGCTCCAACTTCCCTTCCAGAGCTGGGGTGAGAACCCAACAGTCCTGGCACCCATGAGCTCTGCACTAATCACCAGACCCCCCTCTCCTCCCACAGAACCCAGGAGATCTGACTGCTGTGTCACTGCTCCATGCTGCCTCTCGGCAGCAGGGTTGTTTGCCTGGCACGTTTCACCGACGCTTGGCTCACACGCTTGTGTACATGTGCCAGCTAATGGGCCCTCCCCCAGCACCGTTGCAAGGAAGGAGGGGAAGGGGCTATGCGTGAGTGAGTTCCTCCTTCGTAACCGCCTTCCCCAGGGGCAGCTTCCGCATCCTGTTTCTGCAGAGGTCCCCAGTGAATTGGAAAGGAGCCGTGGGTTCATGCCCCTGATGGCTTGGGTGAGTCACGTTATTGTGCTGGGCCTCAGTTTCCCCATTTGTGAAACAGGGATGATACTTGCTTTGTCTATTTGTCCCCTTGGGCAGGGACTTTCCCTCATTCTGTCTGTGTGATGGCCCAGTGGGGCCCCGATCTCAGCTGGCACCTGTGCAGCGCCCAGCCCAGCGGGGGCCCCGATCTCAGTCCGTGTCTGTGCCGTGCCCTGTTCTCCAGTGTTGCCATAATAAGTAGTAAGTGACTTGCCCAAGGTGACTCAGAGAGGCTGCTTCAGAGAGAAAGGATGGCCCAGTGGTTAGAGCACTCACCTGGGACTTGGGAGAACTGGGTCCAAGTCCCTGCTCCTCCCCTCACTCCTTGTGTGACCTTGGGCAAGTCACTTAGCCTCTCCGTGCCTCAGTTTCCCCGTGCGTACAATGGGGATAAGCACCCTCAGCCACGCGGCGTTACGCCAGCTGGGGGTCCAGCCCAGTGACCCCTAATGGAGCTGTGCCCAAGATCTGGCCTCAGTGACGCCCCCACAGCACAACCCCCTTTGCACCAGCTGGGGATCGGGCCCCCGCTTTCCGAGCACGCAGCCCCTCCACTGAGGCTGCCAGCGCTGCTTACAGCAGGTTCAACCTCTGCAGCGTCTCTCCTCCGGCGCGAGCAGCCGGCAGCTCTGCCAGGGAGGATGAGGGATTGCTGAGCCGTCTCTCTGCGCCAGCCCTGCAGTGCAGCCACTCCCACGCCCTGGCAGCCCGGGCACGGCTCGCCCTCGCGCTGCCTGAAGGCAGGGTGCTGGAGAACTCAAGGCCCTGGGTTGCCCAGAGGCAGGGGCAGAATGAGAGCCCCGTCCTCGGAGCCAGGCCCCCGGCGGGTGGAAATGGGCGATGCTCCAAGCTATGCCACTTGGCCTCACCGGGCGTAGAGTTGCCAGGTGTCCGCACACCCAGTCAAAAAGGGACCCTCCCCAGCCGGGTGAACATGAGCGAGTGAGTGAGGGTGGGGGGAAGCGAGCGACGGAGGGAGGAGGGATGGAGTGAGCGGGGCAGGGCGGGGCCTCAGAGAAGGGGCGGGGCCTCAGAGAAGGGGCGGGGCAAGGATACATCCCCATATGCTCAGCTATCACTGGGGCGGGGCCGCAGGACGCGCCTCAGGCCTGGTGCTTCTGGGCAACCTACAGCCCAGCCCCCTGGGCAAAGCACCGCCCAGGGCGTCTCCGTTCTTGCTGGGCTCTTCGATGCCTCTGTCCCTGGTGGTAGTAACCCAGGCTCCCGCAGGCAGGTCCTGCTTAGTGAAATCCTCCAGCAGGGGGCAGTGCAGGAAGGCAGCGGCCTGGGCAGCAGAGGGTTACTGCCGCAGGCCAGCCAGCTACAGGGGGTTTAAGTGCAGCTCTCTGCCTTCCCTGTGGGCCCTGGGGGGAGCCCCAGCCATGCCCCTGATCTGCCCCCAGACAGAGGCTGGGACCAAGGGGAGGGCAGGGCCCTTAGCCAGCCCCACACCAGCTGGCTAAGCCCCCCGTGCATGGGAGGGGGGGTCTAGGGGCCCTGTCCCATCCAGGTTAAGGCTCCTTTAGGCAGCGCAAAGGGGTCTGAGCGTAACCAAGACCCAGGCTGGATTCTCCAGCAATAGCGAGGGTCCTGCTGCGATCAGGGCACGTGTCTCGCTGCAAAGCCAGGGGGGCGCCACAGAACGCTCCCCCCTCCGCGTGAGTCCCGTCGGCGATCTCCTGGGCTCCAGCAAGGCAAGCCAGCAGGTCCATCCGCCCTAGCCGGCTCCAACCCGCTGCAACGCCCCAGCAGCCAGTCTGCTGAAAGCCCAGCCATGCAGCAGGATCCATGCAGGGAGCCGAGGGAACACGGCACCCAGAGGGGTTTGGCGGCCGTGGGAATCGAACCGGGGAGCGCCACCTCTTAAAGTGCCTGAGCTGAAAGAGCCTGCTGCTAGCCCTCAACCTCCAGCCCCCACTAGAGGGCGACAGAGCACCACAAAGTGGGCGTGGCACACACCGAATGAGCGTGGCTCACACCCAACCAATTGCAGGACTGTTGCCCCGGCACACCGAAGCACTAGCGCCACTCCCTTCCTCACTGGAGATCAAAGGGGGATATTTTCCCCCCACTACAAATTTCTTCTCATCCTTGAAATTTCCCCCCCCCCAAAAAAAAACTGGATGATAGAAAAAAAATCGAGTCTCTCCCCCATTATCAAGCCCACCCCTGTGTTTTTGAACAACGAAAGGGAAGAACTCAAACCCTCTGAGAAACACCTCCGTGAAAAATCCTTCCTTTGGGGAACCGCCCGCGAGAACGCGACTTCCCACCTTTTCCACCCAGCGATTCCTCTCGCGCCCCTTTTCCAAGCATCTCTAGGGACTGCGGATCAATATTTTAGGGGCCGGGTGCTTCTTTGTCAATGAGATGCCTGAGCTCAGCCAGAAACGATGGTGGATTTCCTCCCCCACACCCTGGACGTGTATAAACTTTTAAGCAGCGACCAACCCTAGATGATCACGTATAAGGCCGGAAGGAACCACTGTGCTGCGCCTGGCCTCTTGGATAACTGGATTTCTGATTGTCCCTTCCGGCCATAAAATCCGTCAGTCCTTCTGGGAAGAACAAAACCCCAACGGTTTGGCCGCCGTCAGCGATCCAATCGGAGCCGGTTCTCCAGGCTGCTGCAGCCAAAATCAGTCTCAGCGGCACCAGGGGGCGCTGCACCTTGAGGTGCCGGGGCAGGGGAAAACAAGTGGTGGGGCCCTGCTATTAATCCAGCAAGGTCCAATGCAGGTGCCCCCGGTTCTTCACATGCTCAGTTCTTGAAGACTTCCAGCAGGCTGGGTAATGCTCAGACAACCCACGCCACCTTGTGGCCAAATGAGCACAGCCCTTGCCCTTAGCAGGTGCCAAGCTGGCCCATCGGCTGGCCTGCAGGAGTGGAGGGGAATAGGAGACGTTCTTGTCACCAGAATGTTTGCCACACCAATTGGGGGGAGGGGGAGATACCCCCTGGTTGGTGTATCATTAAAGACCCCAGAACATTTTAACTAGGATGTCCCCCCCAAATTCCAGTTCAAGTTACACCTTACCCCCCTCGATCCCCACGCACCAAGGTTCGGTCGTGTTGCTGTGTGCCGCCGTGACACGCTGCCCCCCATAGCCAGCTGCAGTTCAGGGAAGACACATGGACAGCTTGCAAGGCTGCTCGCAGGAAGCCTGGAGGTCCAAAGAACTCCGGTTCAGGATGCGACGGGTTGGATCACAGAAACCCCCCTGGCAGCTGCCAACTGATATGCCAAGACTACCTCCGCTCCTGTTTTCCCTGCCAGCTCAGGACTCCAGCACCCTGTTTTGCTGAGCCAGACACTCCCGTCTGCTCTAACAAAAACCCAGGGTCTGAATTACTTGCCCCAAAGCTGCAGGTTTACCTGAAAACAGCTCCCAGAAGTGTGCTTGTCTTTAGCACTCAGATGCCCAACTGCCAATGGGGTCTAAACCCAGATAAATCCGTTTTACCCTGTATAAAGCTTATGCAGGGTAAACTCATAAATTGTTCGCCCTCTATAACACTGATAGATATGCACAGCTGTTTGCTCCCCCAGGTATTAACACATACTCTGAGTTAATAAGTAAAAAGTGATTTTATTAAATACAGAAAGTAGGATTTAAGTGGTTCCAAGTAGTAACAGACAGAACAAAGTAAGTCACCAGGCAAAATAAAATAAAATGCGCAAATCTATGTCTAATCAAACTGAATACAGATAATCTCACCCTCAGAGATGCTTCAGTAAGTTTTTTCCTCAGACTGGACACCTTCCAGGCCTGGCCATAGGGTGACCAGACAGCAAATGTGAAAAATCGGGATGAGGGTGGGGGGTAATAGGAACCTATATAAGAAAAAGACCCCAAAATCGGGACTGTCCCTATAAAATCAGGACACCTGGTCACCCTACCTGGGCACAATCCTTTCCCCTGGTACAGCTCTTGTTCCAGCTCCGGTGGTAGCTAGGGGATTCTTCATGATGGCTGTCCCTTCTCTCTGTTCCACCCACTTATATATCTTTTGCATAAGGTGGGAACCCTTTGTCTCTCTCTGGGTTTCCACCCCCCCTCACTGGAAAAGCAGCAGGTTAAAGATGGATTCCAGTTCACGTGACATGCTCACATGTCACTGTAAGACCCCCAAGCCTTCAATCCTCCCAGTCTGACTCACAGGAAGGCTGCCTGCAAACAGAGCCGACCACACTCAATTGTCCTGGTTGATGGGAGCCATCAAGATTCCAAACCACCCTTAATGGCCCACACTTTGCATAATTACAATAGGCCCTCAGAGTGATATTTCATATTCCTACTTTCAGATACAAGAGTGGTACATTCATACAAATAGGATGACCGCACTCAGTAGATTATAAGCTTTGTAATGATACAAGAGACCTTTTGCATGAAGCATATTCCAGTTACATGATATTCACTCATTACCATATTTTTCTAAAACCATATAGACTGCACAACGGCACACAGCATCCACCGTCCAGGCCTGGATTTTTATCATTTGTATTACAGCAATGCCTAGGCACCGCTTGCTTGGCCCAGGGCCCCCATTGTGCTAGGCGCTGCGCATGCACCATGAAAAGAGACGGTCCCTCCCCCAGAGAGCTCATCATCTAAGTAGGACTGGCTCAGGTTTTTTTGTTCATACCTTTCTTTCCACCCCCCCGACAAAAAATGGCTAGTTTTGTCAACACACAAATGTCAGTTTCCAACAACCTTTTGCAGGCGTTTGGTTGAAACCAACTCCAAAAACTGCCAGTGGTTTGGGGAAAGACTTTCAGTAAAAAAACCCCCAACCTTTGAAAAAACAAAGGGAAAAAATATATAGAAAAATCCAATGAAACATAAATTCTTTTCCCCCCGGTCTAATTCCTCCCCCTTCGCTGAAAGGGGAAATAGCCAAATTCCCAGAGCAGCGTTGGAAAAGTTCTAGCCCAGGTCACAAAATAGGAATCTTGACGCTCTTTCTTTCGGTGAGTTTGTAAACACATCCTTGCTGAATGGAAAACTTTAGAACAGAAAAGCAGCTCAGAGAATACGATTCTTTATTACTATTGCAATAGCATCCAGGAGCCACAGTCATAGACTAATACCGTTTGGTGCACGGTGCTGTACAGACACAAACGAGCGATTTATTTCCCCCCAAAGAACCCCACTGGAAGGTGACTTTCATTGGGAGTTTTTCCCCCCTGATCGGTACAAACTGGAACGTGCTTCTCAATCTCTGCCTGCCAAGGCTCAGCAAGGAAACGGAGGGGCAGCGAGAACAGAACAGGAAGCACGAAATAGACAAGAGGACGCCGGAGCGGAGCGCTCCGTAGAGCCAGCCCAAGCACTGCGAGTAAATCCCACAGAGGTTCTGATAAGGGGCAGCGTTGCCTTGTCGAGCATGACTCAGGAGACCTGGGTTCTATTCCCCGGCTCTGCCACTGCCAGCTGGACGACCTTGGGCATGTCACATGCCCGCTCTGTGCCTCAGTTTCCCCTCCTATATTTTGCCTTTTTCAACTAAGGTCTGGTCTAGTTGCCGTGCCACAGGGTCCCAACACGGCTGCTGCTGCCGCCGCCATAGAGCTAATAACAACGAGCTCTAAGAGAGAGTGGGCATCCGTCTCCCACAGAGCCCTTTGAAAGAGCCTGGTGTGAATGAGGCCTGGGGACCTCAGCACAGGGCAAATTCCAGTCCCCAGCTGGTTCGATGGCACATGTGAGCAGAGGCAGCACTGCTCTAACCACTAGACCCCACTCCCCTCCCCCAGCTGGGGATAGAACCCAGGAGTCCTGGCTCCCAGCCCCCCACACTGCTCTAACCCACTAGACCCCACTCCCCTCCCACAGCTGGGGATAGTACCCAGGAGTCCTGGCTCCGGCCCCCCCACTGCTCTAATCCACTAGACCCCACTCCCCTCCCAAGAGTCCTGCTCCCTAGCACGCACCCCCTCCCCACCTGCTCTAACCACTAGACCCCGCTCCCCTCCCAGAGCAGGGGATAGAACCCAGGGAAAAGCACTGCTGAGTCACCAAGTCGGTTGCATCCCGTCCCACCCCCCCGCCCAACACATAAACTTCCAGCTGGTGCCAGCAGTGGGATACAGGCTTAGAAATAGACACCAATCAGACACCGGTGGGGGCATGACTTCCAAGCCCCTCGCTCAATCAAGTCCCACCCAGTGGGTGGGCCCCCCCGAGGATAATGCCGCCGCCCCCTCCCCGCAGGCAGGGCCCCCTCCTACAGGCTGCTGAGGTGCAGCGCCATGCACAGCAAGTTGACTCCGTTGCAGGCGAGGCAGACGAGGTTGCAGAGGGACGACAGCCCGTGGCGTCTGAAGAACGTCTGCCGCGCGGCCTGGTACTTGGGGTCCCTCTCCCGCAGCTGCTGGTACGTCTCGCGCCGGGCCGCCAGCCCCACCTCCCCGCCCAGGCCGTGCTCCCGCTCGATGGCCTGCAACCGGAACATGGCCGCCGTGGTGGCCGGGGACAAGCCCAGGGCGTTAACGCTGGCCAGGAGAAGGCAGACGAAGTAGAGAGCGCCCTGGGGGAGGGAAGAGACAAATGGTTGGGATGGTGGCATGGGACACTGGGTGGCAGGACACCTGGGTTCTGTCCCCAGCTCTGGGAGGAGAATGGGGTCTGGCAGACTGAACGGATGAAGCTGGAGATAGAACCCAGGCGTCCTGACACCCAGCCCCCACTACTCTAACCACTAGACCCCACTCCCCTCCCAGAGCCAGTGTTACCTAGCAGCTCTGTGTTCTTGGGGAACCAGGGTGCAGTACCCAGCCTGTCTGACTCACGAAAGACCTTCCCCTTCCAGCCTCTGCTTGAGCTAAAACCCATCAGAAGAAAGACTTACAAAGAGCATTGACAAGGCCGCGGGAGACACCCCTAAACCCCTGGGATAAGGGGGACAGGATTAAGGAAAGTCCCGGAGTGTCATTTGCATCAAAGATGGGACAAGGAGGCACCTCCATGAGCATACAGAACGGAGAACAGAGATTCCAGGGCAAGAACCGCAGGGAACTCTGGGACCAGAAAAGCAGGGAAGCACTGCATGATGGGGGATCTCTGCTCCAGATGTTAATGGACCCACGCCTGCACACCCCCAGCTCAGCAGTGATCAGACCAATTCTAGTAATGAATCTTTGATTGGTATCCAAACTAGTGAAACTCCTTAATTGCACTGTGAGCTCCCTCCAAGGAACACCGCCCAAAGCCAGGAATGAGCAGCTCCCATGTCTAGCCTGAACAAAGCAACTTTGGTATTCTCCCTTGTCCACACACAAACAAATCTAGTGTTCTCCCTTGAACCATGGCTGTTTCCCTACAAAACCCCCCACCCACGCTCACGTAAGTGTTCTGATGCCTGGATCCAAACTCTGCACCAGTTCCACTGGGATTTCATCTTCTCCTGACTGACCGTGCTGGGGGCTCTGCCTGTCTCCAGCACTCCAGACCCTCAGGTACCACCTGGGACCCCCGACCGATTCAAGCGTCATGGAGTGGTGAGACCGCAGCTCTCTCTCTAGGTATAACCTTCTGACCCTGACTTGTGTGATCAGTTATAGCAGGGGTGGGTGGCCTGTGGTTCCGGAGCCACATGGGGCTCTTCAGAAGTTAATATGCAGCTCCTTGTATAGGCACCAACTTTCCAATGTACCGGGGGGGGGGGGCGCGTCACA